ATAAATTACGACCAAGCGCAGATGGTCTATTGGGAAGAAATGAATTGAAATTGAAGTTGAGACGCAAATCACGGAGAGCTAAGCTTCTAGGCAGTGTGGGTGATGAGAGTGGCGATGATGGCATAAGAACGGGCTGGGTTTGCGTCGATATAGGTGTGGTTGAGAGCCCAGATATACATGCAAATGCTACACCCGAGGGCGATGGCTTTGTGGGCTTTGGAAGACGGACCGATGGTGTCAGAATTGTCGTTCAAATGCTTACCGAAGAGAAGAGAGAAGAGATCGATCTAGAAAAGTTATGGGGTGGAATCTTGCGAAGGTCTGGTCAGTCGGAAGTTGAAGTTGAAGAGGTAGTTGAAGATGCGGAGGTCGGAGAACCAATATCTACATCGATTTCCCAACCTTCACAACATACTACAGCGCCAACTATTAAACCTCGAGGTTTTCAAATCCCCCAGACTCGACAATTCCATACTTCGGTAGAAAGAAAATCTGACAATCCAAGGGACCAACACCCACACGGTATCTTATCCTCACCACAACAAGACGGACCAATTGAAAACAAAAGACTAACAGAACTCCAGCAATCGGTACTTTCCGACTTCTCCCTTGGTGAATTCGAAAGGGCGAAAAACAGTGTTTTGGAATACTGTGCTAACAACGTAGAGTTGGATTGGCAAAGTTTCCTGTTGCACCACTTGCGGATGTACCTTGAGAATGTCTCAGTGGAACAGGCAATGTTTGAATTGGGCAAAGGATATACTCCTGGGGATACATCCTTCCTCAAGTGTTTTAAAGATGCTGTGGCTGGTGTCGGAGAACCCCACCACCCCGCCCCATTCAGGTGGGATTATGTCTTCTGGCTATTCCATTATGCTCGAGATATTGGACACCCTTGGTTTCATACCATGAATTTAATAAACTTGTTCAGAAGATTTGAAAGAAAGAAAAATGACGATAGTGATATATCTGATGAATATTACCACAGAATCATACGTACCATACTTGAACCTGTCCATGGCCCTTCAGACACGAACTCCGCTCCTTCACGCCTTAATGCCCGGCTCGCATTAAAGGTCATTCAAACAATGTACCGACGCGGTCACAAGATTTTCACGGAAGAAATGTTTGTGACTTTACAAGAAGCCACAGAACGTATTCCGGACCTTGATATCACAACTGTTCAACCAGAAGCGACTGTTAATGATTCCTTCGGGATACCTACAAAGGCAATGACGCCAATTCAACGTCGCATCCATACTCTAATGATGAACCTTGAGTCACCTCCCTTTTCAGATGAATCTAGAATGCGACTGATGCAACTGTATGCACGAAATGAACAGTGGGTAGCCTTTTGGGATATTTGGAGATTGCCTCTTCGTCAATCCAAATCACAATCAGCCGACATGTATGCATATGTGTTTCAGAGGGTAGCAGAGACAGGGCATCAGAAACTCTGTATGAAAGCATTACACACTTGGATTGAGGAATTAGACCGTGAAGAACCCTCTGTGAAATTAGAAGGTGATGTTGCAGAAGCTGTTAAAGCTTGTTTGATGGTTGTGGAGAAGCGTATCGAGCAAGAAGCGATTGCGAATCCTGAGAAAACTGGGCAATGGCATTCTTTATGGCGCAGATGCCATGGGGGAGATGAAGAATGGAAAAAAATTGTTGATATCATGGTTGCTGACTATGAGCAAGGCGTTGGCCAGAATGATTCTATGGTTACTGATCAAGAACCTAACAAGATCTATGGTGATAAGTATCAAAAGGATCCAGTCACGTCTAAGGAAACCCCACTAGGGCAAGAATTTTCTCCCATGGCTTTCCAGCAGGAAATTGGTCAAGGCGACAATGCAAATACACGTGGATGATACAATATGTATGGATTTGGCAGAGGAGACAATGAAAGAGTAAAGTATTTACGACATGAATGATAATGTATTTGAATGAAGTTGATGAAAGCTTGAGCATTAAAGCCTCCTTCAAGGAGCAACAACGGGGCCACTTTGTATATTCGCAAGTTGTTGCCTCTTAATGAACACGAATATTTTACCACTTTTCTTATATTTTCTGACTTGACTTTGACAAATTCCCCAAAGAATAAAAGCAGAACATTAATAATCTTAGAGCTAGCTATTTGAATTCATGAAAGATGATAGAGCTCACTGGTATCAATATACCGGTGTGGCTGTGAAGCAGGAAATAACCCCTGGAGTTAGCCGCTCGGACATCAATCATGATTGGTTAACATATCAGTCCCCACGACAACAATTGATACAGGGCCAACCACATCGAGTCAACCGTCACTTCATCACAAGACTCACCGATTCAATGTCTCGTTTGATAAGAATAAATACCTACATGTTATAATACAACTACACTCCTCTCATCGACCCTTTCTCATATACCTTATTCGATTATTCTCTCCTAATTATATATTCAAAATGAAACTCAATCCTTCCATCTTTTTGTGTCTGAGCCCTCTTCTTCCATCAGCATATGCATGGGGAACATTAGGTCACCAAACCGTAGCATATGTAGCTACAAATTTTGTAGCAGATGAAACTCGAGATTATTTTCAAACACTGCTGAAAAATACAACTGGAAGTTATTTGGCAGGTGTAGCGACGGTAAGGATATTGGAAGAGCGATCTTTTTGATTGGGATTGTTGTTTTTTATGTATTCTGGTCACATGAAGTTGTGTGAAGGAATTTGGCTGTTTTTTAAGATCATTTGCTAACATTTCGAGGCGGTAGTGGGCTGATAGCTTCAGGTAATCTCTCTGGAAATCTAATGATTCCTCTTGTGCTGATTTGGTTTTAGATATACCAAGGCGGGGAAACATACAGGCGCTTGGCATTTTATTGATGCGTTGGATGATGTACCTAGGTGTTAGTATTCTCTTTTCTTTTGGAAATTCTTGGGGATACGGAGTTAGTGACAACGAGAGCCTTTGGAATGAAGGAGCCATGCTGATATCGAGGTGTTATCTAGCTTGTGGAGTTAAGTTTGCTAGGGATTGTGGGGAGGAAGGGTGTGTAGTTGGAGCTATTTTGAATTTTGTGAGTAAAAATTTTCGAATTTTTTGATGTTCCTTAATAGGTATTCACGGGATTGCTTCATGTGATTCCGTTATTAAGCATCGAGAAAACGGGCCTCTCGTGACAATGATCATACACTGCAAGTACTTGACTCTGGCTAGGTATGAGCAAGCTTGGAAGATGTTCAAAGACATGAAGGTCAACAGCAGCAACGATATATAATAGTATTCGGGTTCAAGAAACTGAGATGAAAGTCAAGCTAATCGAGACCTTAGACGAACCAATTGCTCGACCCAAATGTTGTGAGGTATGACAAATATATTGCTGCAAAGGTATGAAAGATCTATCCGTCCCTAAGCATTACTAATACTTATACAATAGTTCATCGTTCACGTAAGTTTTCACCTCCAAGTTCTTTTGGATTAACTCACCAATTACTCAGTTTGTCGGAGACATTCACCAGCCTCTTCATGCCGAGAATATCGATGTGGGAGGAAATGCTATCGCTGTAAATTGGACTGGCAAAGATACCAATCTTCATCACGTTTGGGATTCGTCAATCCCCGAAAAACTTGTTGGAGGTTATTCAATGGGCGATGCTCAAGACTGGGCAAATGTGCTGACATCCGCGATTAAGATGGGTATATACCAAGATCAAGCACAATCATGGCTTGAGGGTATGGATATAAGTGATCCATTGACAACAGCCCTGGGTTGGGCTAGAGACTCAAATGCTTTTATATGTACAACGGTCATGCCAGATGGAGCAGATGCGTTACAGGGGAAGGAGTTGAGTGGTGAGTATTATGATACGTCTGTGCCAGTTATTCAACTGCAAGTTGCAAGGGCGGGCTATAGGTTAGTGATCCCAATTATTAATTTCGAAAACAAAATTCTAATTATACTGAAAGGTTGGCGGCTTGGTTGGATATGATTGTTAGTGGTTTTAAGACAGAGTTGTAGTGGCCTCGCTTATGTTTTGTACTATGAGAACATTGTGGGAACTTTTCAGAGGGACTAAAATGTAATATTGTTAATGAGATTGAAGTAAATCACTGTGAGATGCCAAGGCAAACAGTGAGAGATACATAAAATATATAGGGGCTAGATATGCACAGAACATTAAGTTTTCTGCCTGAGAAGATCAATTCACCCACGCGTTAACAGAACGAATTATCGACATGGTGACCACATGGTAAGTCCTGACCAAATGACCTGAAACGATCATAAATCTTGAATTCATCATGCATTCAAGTTGACGATGGAAGTCAGTGAATGAGATTACGCCGGAGACCGATTCAGCAATTCTCAAGTCCAGGTTAGTAAGTTTACCTCAGAGATGTCTCATAAAGGATAGAAAAAAAGCTTAAATACCAAAATAGATATTATTGTTTGTGAACAATAATAAACAACCGATGTCTAAGCGAAGGAAATCAGACGAGGAAGAAACCAATACACACTTAAGTGAATCTCGCTTAATCACTCACGTTCAAGCTGTCCATTCAGAGATCTTTCCTAATGGGAACCCATTGTCTTGTCTCATCATGTACAGGAAACCATCAAATAGAAATACGGCCTACAAATTGCGAACCGCATTTTTCAAGAATATAAGATTGGTATATCCAGTAAATAACTTGATCCTTATTCACCTATAGATTTCTCAACCAAATGACTTGATGAACCCACAGAACGTTTCTTTACTCATCAAGCTCGACAACTCGCAGTCTCTCAAGACCAAATCTCTCGAGCTCGCCGTATCTTGTTATTCAAACAATACCTCCCGGTATCCACCATCTATATTTATCCATCTCTCAAGACTTCCAGATCCCATATACCTAATACCTATTTGATACCACTCACAAATTACCCGCCCCATTTCCACGATTATTACAAGTGACTTCTCACAGCTCCAGCAACCCTACTCATCTAACTTTATAATCGATCAACCCCTCAAAATGCCCAAGATTCGCAACTCCGTATCGCGAACAACACGCTTCCGGCGATATCCATATTCACATCTTCCGGAACGAGCACCTCTCCCTGATCTGGTAGCTTTGCATGAAAATGGAACTTTGTTTTCGGATCCGAGGGCGATGACCGAGAGCGCTATAGAGGAGGAAATTGCTGGAACTCTGAAACTTAAGTCAAGGAGCGAGTTTAAAGGTATGTATTTCTTTTCCGATTTTCGGTGTGAAGGAGGAGGGGGGTTTTATACACATGAACGTGACGAAACACTAATATACAACAACAGCACAACTTCATCCTCACCCTCGACCCTCTAATCTAGAGTCCCAAACCGAAGAAGATGAACTCCCCAGCTCAGAAATTGGACACAATACATCCTCGCATCTCCCAGCAGACGAACACCTTACCTATCCACTTACTCCCTCAAACCCCCACCCCAACATCCAAGATAATCACTTTCTCTCTTCCAATCCCTCCACCCAAGCAAAATCAAACTCGATATCTCCCTACTCCCTCCACCAACGACGTCGCGGACTCCCCAATCTCCGCGTCATCACATCGTCTACTCATCTAGCCGAGTTGAGAAATAGAAATCTCAGTAACCCATCGGCGAAAATCTCTCTTCTTGGGTTAAAGCAGAGAGAACTGGAGACCCAAGCATCACAGACACAGCAAAATCTTCGCTTCCAAAATCCCATCTCTGAATCCCAAATGCACAGAAATAATGGGAAGGATCAAGAGAGGAAATATCACACTCGCAAAACCCGCAATCACTATGTCCCCACTCCTCCCAGGAAACCAGGAAAAATACGCTCGCGCACAAATGTACCTCCTCATCCTCGCACGCGCTTCTCGTTCACATCCGAATCTCCAGATCCATCGCAATATATGTGCAACCCAGGAATCATTTCCTCAAACCGCATAGCTCCATCTACCCTCTCATCCTCCCTCCCACCCCCACAACTCCTCCCACCTCCCCTCTCCAACCCCCTCACGCCCACGCAATACATTTCCGCCATCCTCTCTCTACGCGCCTCGACCCGCAACCCGGACCATTTCCCCTTACCACCTGGTATCCAACTCCTTCAAAATTTTCCGCAGGAAAATAAGAAGAAGACGACGAAGATGAAGAGGATAGGGGAAAAAGAAATTAACTTCCTCGCGTTGCAAATGGAGCAGGTGGAAGATGCGATACGGCTTGAGGGGGCGCCAGAGGAGGCGAGAGAGGTTTACTATGCGCAGTTTGCGAGGGGGGAGTATTGAGGATGGGAGAGGGAGAGGGAAGGTGAGGGTGGATGTAACATTTTTGCTTTGAGGGTGTGAGGGAATAGAAGAGGAGAAATGAACTCGAATCCTCATTACATTATTCAAGATGAACTGCATGATGAACATCAAATTGGTCAAATGTACTTAAATTAAAGCATTGAAAGCATTTTAATCATTATAAGCTCCTCAATTGCTTTGATCATTCCAATCATTCAAATATTGAAGGCTTTGGAATCGTTCAAAGTGTTTCGAATTTTATAAACTCTAGAACAATTCGAAACAGTTGAATTATTCAGAACATGTAAATTATTCAAATCGTATGAAATATTGAACGCGTTGTAATCATTCAGAGCAATTAAATCATCTTAAGCATTTGAATCATTCAAAGTATGTAGAATTTTAGCAGCTTCAAAATCATTCAAGACATGTGGAACATTGAAAACTTTTGAATCATCCAAAGCAATTGAATAACTGAAGATATTTAGAAAATTGAACGCTTCTAAATCATCTAGATCATGTAAGATATTGAAAGTTTTATAATCATTCAAAGTATGTAGAATTTTGAAAGCTTCAAAATCACTCAAACTATATAGAACATCCAGCGCTTTTGAATCAATCAACATATTCCCGTCCCACATTATCATTTCAACAGATTCCATGAAAAAGTATTCAAAAATTATTTAGCACACTTGGTCACTCACCATCCTTCCTCCATATCTTTTACCGCATGCTATCCTGACGTGCGTTGTACACGTTGTTTTAAAACACACACCATTTTCCTTACCTTCTCCTCTCTCCAGTATGTGCTTTCCATCATTCACTCTTTTACAATCCCATTCTTAAGTAATTTTGAAATAATCTGTCTCCTTTTGCAGACATAATAATTAGGGCGGACTTCGTCGAGATGTGACTGAGATGCTGCACTGTATCCGAGTTATATTAAGGTTATGTATGAATGAGCTCATTGAGTATCTTGTGTTGAATTGTCTTTCAAAAATACACTGCCATATGGTCGCAAGTACTTGAAAGCAAGTTTAAAGTTCACACGTACACTAATCACAAGTCCTGAAATGAAATCACCAATCATCAAAGAATATGCATCTCGAAGTGTCTATTTCCGATCTATCTTCTAATATGCGGTGAATACATAGTAACTAATGAAATTTTGTCTTGAACTGAAACTCATAATTTCAGTTGCGTAAAAAAAAAGAGATTCGTAGTCGAGGTAAAAACGAATAAACGCCAAAGACCATACACTATGATGACGACCAATTAAAGTGCCAAACCATAAGTGAAAAGTAAAAACAAAAATAACTCGAAATTCTTTTTATGACCCGAGTTTCCTTGTCTTGCCCATCCATTTGAAATATTTCGTCTATCCACAAACACCAACCACCATCAATCATCTATGACGTGAACATTTATTCATCCTCATCACTGAAGACTTCCTCTCCTCTCTTGCGGCGGGCCATGCGGTCCTTCTTCTTCTTACGGAGTTCAGCAGAAGAGAGCTTGGCCTTCTTCTTGGTGGAGACAATCTTGTTACCCATCTAAATATTTGTTAGTGATTATGTAATGATTATGTAACCAAATGTGGGGTAAATTTTTAAAAATTTAGCGAGGTGATTTCAACTTACAGCATCGAATTTTTCTTCTTCTTCGGCGTCATCTCCCTTAAGACGAGGACCAGAACCTTGGCCTTGCACCCAGTTGTGACCTGAAGGAGTCATCTTCCCGTCTACAACGGCCCAGACTTCCTCAGTGATGTTCTTGGTGAACTCAGCACTGTGGGTAATGATGATAACACCACCCTCGAAGCTCTTAAGAGCCTTGGACAAGGCACCGAGAGAATCACGGTCCAAATAGTTGGTAGGCTCGTCAAGAACGATCAAATGAGGACGTTGCCACGAGCAAGCAGCGAGAACAACCTTAACACGTTGACCTCCAGAAAGACCCAACATACGGGAGTGAGAAACCAACTCAGCATCCAAACCGAAGTTGGCGCAGTGCTGTTCGATCTCCTTTCTAACCAAAGGTCTGAATTGACCACTGGCAAGAGCCTCCTTTTGATCAACTTCAGCAACCATCTTTTGATGGGAAGCCAAGATCTCAGTACGTGGAATCCAAGCGTTGTCTGCAGTCATCATAGGAACCCATCTCTCGTTCTTCATGCCAACGTTCTCTCCGAGAGCGAACGAACATTCATACTCATAAGAGTTCTTGAACTTACGACGGGAGTGGATACCAATAACACGACGCTGAGTACCTTCAATCTTGTAAATCTTGTCCATAGCCTTCTCATCCTCATCAGTGACAATCTTGTTGGCTCTGTCCATGGTCTCACGATCTTCACCGGTTTGGAAACGCCATTGAATATATTCAGATGGGGTCTTCTCGAGATGGTGATCAATGTGGGCGAAAGCGTGTTGTTTAATGTAGGCGATACGGATGTTCTCGTGGGTGTAGACCTCACCGACAGTTGGGATAAGTTCACCAGTGAGAACGTTGATAAGAGTAGATTTTCCAGCTCCGTTAGGACCAATGACGGCAATACGGGAACCAAGAGAACATTGGAAGGAGATATCGGAAATTTGTGGCTTGGGGGTACCCTCATATTGGAAGGACATCTTACTGACACGAACAATGGCCTTAGCCTTGGTCTTGACACCCTCGAGGAAACCTGGCTCAGGGAACTTGAATTCCATCTCGGAAGCACCGAGCTCGTAGTAAGACTTGGCTTGTGGGCACTTCTTGACGAACTCCTTCAAGTTACCACGGTATCTCTTAAGCTTGTATCGCTCGTAGTGGATGATGTGTTGACAGACGTTATCCAAGAAAGCGGAGTCGTGGGAAACGATGATGGAGGTACATGGAGAGTTTTGAAGGTAATCTTCGAGCCACTTGACGTTCTTGACATCCAAATGGTTGGTGGGCTCATCCAAAAGGAGAATATCTGGAGCCTCGAAAACAGCACGGCAGAGAGCCAACTTCATCTTCCATCCACCGGAGAGAGCGGTGATCAAGTTGTTGGTCATTTCTGAGGTGAAACCGAACTCTGTCAATTGCTTCTCGACTTCTTCTTGGGAAGTTTCGACACCAACCTCCTTAAGCTTCTTCATAGTCCAGGCAATGGTAGTTTGCTCAGTATCAGCGGAATCGAGATCGTGCTCAACGAACACAGTCTTAACTTCACTCTTCTTTGGGAAACCCTCAACTTGCTCGTTGTTGATAGCACGCATGAGGGTGGACTTTCCGGAACCATTAGGACCGCAAAGACCATATCGTTGACCACGCTTAAGACGGAGATGAGTTTGGTTGAGAAGAATCTTAGCACCGTATGCCAAGTTGAAGGTACAGTTGCAGAGATCCTCACCCTCCTCATCATCAGCTTCTTCGGCGTCCTCAGCCTCGGCACCTGGAGAGGCACGCTTGCGGAGGTTGTCGACAACTGATTGTGCATCCTTCTCGCCGGTGATTGCGACGATGAATGGCTTGAGGTTGGAAGTCCAGCTGTGGGAGTCGGCATCCTTCTCATCGATAAGTTGACCAGCGATGGCGGCGATGTAAGTGATGATTGGCTCAAATTTAAGAGCGTTCTTGTTGGAGCTGAGGATATCCTTAAGAATGGCCTCGACAGTGGAGACTTGGCCAGCGTTCGATGGCTCTGGGATCTTTCCATCAGCGCCTACAGCACCGACACGCTTGATGGTGTCAAGACCTTGCTTGGTCTTTTCACGAGCCTCAGGATCAGCCAAGTTGTCGTAGTTCTTGATGAGACCTGGCATCAACTTTGGCAAGAAAGCAGCGACAATGTTGGGGTCCTCGACCAACTTGCACATGTTGTCAATGATGACAGCGGACTTTCTCTTAATGGCAGTCTCACGCTCGTTGAGACCACGATCCAAAAGAGGAACCATGATAGCCAAAGTTGGCTCGTGGACGTCAGTGACGAAAGTGGTGGCACCGAGCAAGTGGACAGTCTCTGGGACGTTTTCTGGCTTGGCGATACACTTAATCAACTCTGGAATGAAACGTTCGATATCCTTGTTGACAATGAGTCCGCAGACCTTCTCCATGATGTTGTATGCTCTCTTCTTGACTTCTGGCTTTGTATCCCACATCGATTCGGAAACGACTGGGATGAGATCTGGAACTCTAAGAGCCAATTGAGTTGGTGCTGACTCGACGAGAGCCTCGATGCAGTCAAGACCGGTCATCTTTTCGGGCCATTTTTGTGCTTCGAGGATGGATTTGATGATAGGTGGGAGGATTGCCTTGACAGCATTTGGGTTGACAGCCTTGACAATGGCCAAGGCAGCTGCTTGTGCAGCGTTCTTGACTGGGACCATCTTGTCACCAACGGAGTTGAGGACAGGACCGAGGAGGACGATAAGGTATGGCTCGACGGCAGCAGAAACTTCAGAGTGCTCAGCAATAGCCTGGATGGCATTGAGAGCGCGTTCTCTGACATTAGCATCCTTCTTGTTTGTCAATTGCTTCTTCAAAGCCTCGACAGTTCTGCAAAGGACACATTGTTAGTAAAGCTGAACATGGAAAAAAAAAATGAAAGAAGACTTTAGGTTCGACCGTAAGATTGCATATCGATATGAAAAAAGAGTGAAAAACATCTAAAGTGTAAATAAAGTCTTTGACAGATATTCAACCCTATCCATTCCCTCTCTTCGGTGAAAATTTGAATATTGAAGTCGGAAATACATACTTGGTGGGGGCATCATTCTCCTCGATGTTACCATTAATGAAAATGGCGAGGTTGTGAGTGGCAGCGTTAATGTCAGTCTGCTCTTTCGAAACAGACAACTTCGACATTAAGTCATCTAAGACCTTGATCGAGTTCTTGTTTTCAGCCATCTTTCCTGTTGTTGTTGGGTTCGATGGTGTTTCGATAGAAGGCATTGAGAAAGAAGAGAAGAAGAGGGGGAGAAAAGATGTCGATAAGGATTTGTGGGAATGAAATTTTTGCTTAGCGCGAAACTACC